TGATGGATTGCCCACGGTTTCTGGGGGTAAGCTGTTCCACTGGTTGATTGTCCTCACTGTCAGGAAATTTCTCCTTAATTCCAAGTGTTCTAATTATAATCTAATTATCTATATAGACTTACATTTCTAATTAAACACTTTTCAGTCTGTCTTGGTGTGATTAGCTCTTCCCGTACTCATTATCCGTTTTTAATTTTTTCCCCTGTTTTTGTACCTTAGTTTTCTGTTGGCTGATATACATACTTTCTCATATCAGCTGCCTATGTTATTGCAATTTGAAAAAGGGAAAGGTTTTTTTTTTAGGAATTAAACTTAATCAAAACAATGATATTTATTGGTTAAGTGTACTGACCCATCAGCAAATGGCCATAAATGTAGGTCGTAAGTAATCTTTTTTTTTTTTGTAACTTTGAAAGGTCCTAAGTCAGTGGTGGCGAACCTATGACACGGGTGCCATAGGTGGCACTCAGAGCTCTCTCTGTGGGCACCCGTGCCGTCGCCCCAGTCCTAGGCCTTCAGCTGGGCTTTATAAAACCTTTTCACTTTAGGTCTCCACCGCCGTGTCAAAAAAAAAAGGTTCAATCAATCAGTCAATTTCAACTTCTCGCGGGGAAAAAAAAGATCTCGCAAAGTTGGAATTGATTGATTGAACTTTTTAGTCCCACCCAGTCTGCCATTACCACCGCAGCCATGCCCACCCAATGGGCCACGCCCACCCAATGGGCCACACCCACCCGGCACCCAACGATGCATAAATGGGTTTTGGGTTGCAGTTTGGGCACTCGGTCTCTAAAAGGTTCGCCATCACTGTCCTAAGTAGTGGACAAGGCAAGTCTCCCTTTGTGACAGAGTGGAAGGAGGACTCTGCTGCTCTTCAGAAGTGATGGAGCAATATCGTATCGCCCAAAGAGAGAGAGAGAACAAGCAACACTTACAAAGATAGGTACCAAGCCACGGCTTCGGTCCTCTTGCACGGCTTTGCCCAGCGTTTCACCTCTCAAGGCGAAATTCTCGTCAACCGGCAGAAACCTGACTTTCACGAGGGAAATCAACCCTGCCTTTTCAACAGAGGAATGAGCCTGGATAAACAAGACCCAGGTTGGAGACAATCAGTGGATGATTACAGAATGCAGAATAACAGAATTGGAAGGGAACTAGAGGTCATCTAGTCCAACCCCCTGCTCAAGCAGAATAATAATAATAATAATAATAATAATAATAATAATAATAATAATAATAATAATAATAATAATAATAATAATAATAATAAAGTTGGAAGGGATCTTGGAGGTCATCGAGTCCAACCCCCTGCTCAGGCAGGAAACCCTAGACCATTTCAGACAAATGGCTGTCCAGTCTCTTCTTAAAAACTTCCAGTGTTGGAGCATTCACAGCTTTGGAGGCAGATTGTTCCACTGGTTAATTGTTCTCACTGTTAGGAAGTTTCTCCTTAGTTCTAGGTTGCTTCTCTCCTTGGTTAGTTTCCATCCGTTGCTTCTTGTCCTGCCTTCAGGTGCTTTGGAGAATAGCTTGACTCCCTTTTCTTTGGGGCAGCCCCTGAGATACTGGAACACTGCTATCATGTCCCCCCTCGTCCTTCTCTTCATTAGACTAGACATACCCAATTCCTGCAGCCTTTCCTCATATGTTTTAGCCTATATACCATTTCAGACAAATGGTTGCCCAGTCTCTTCTTAAAAACTTCCATTGTTGGAGCAGTCACAACTTCAGGATGCAAGAGGTTCCACTAATTAATTGTTCTGACTGTCAGGAAGTTTCTCCTTAGTTCTAGGTTGTTTCTCTCCTTGATTTGTTTCCATCCATTGCTTCTTGTCCTGCCTTCAGGCGCTTTGGAGATTGTTGAGAACACATCATAAG